TCATGGATTCACGTGGCATGGCCATGGGATAGGTAAGTGTTGTGGAGTAGTTTTTCACAATGGAGGCTTGTATTTCAAGAAGTCGTCCTAAATTAGGTTCAACGTACAAAACGTTAGGAACTTGAAAATAAGAGTTGACGCAGCAATCTAGTTGTGATGGTTGGTACTTCAATGTCCGATATCGTCTGACGCGCTAAACACCACTGAGTATTTATCGTTCCACCCACAAGGACCGAATATGGCACAAGGCCGGTTTTAATGTGGGTATCCCCGAGCCCGTAGGCTCGGCCAAAAATATAGCCTTTTGAAGCCGATTAAACGGGTTTAGGCCCTGTCCACCTCCCCGGACGAAACCTTGCCCTTCGGCAAAGCCTCGTCGGGTTTCTCTGCTTACGCAGAGAGTTCGACAGGAGGCGTGTGCAGTCAAAGACCGCTAAACACCACTGAGTATTTATCTTCTCACCCACGGAAAAGAATATGGCACAAGGCCGGTTTTTATGTGGGTTTTCCCGAGCCCGTAGGCTCGGCCAAAAAAATAGCCTTTTGAAGCCGATTATACGGGTTCAGGCCCTGTCTACCTCCCCGGACGAAACCTTGCCCTTCGGCAAAGCCTCGTTCGGGTTCCTCTGCTTACGCAGAGAGTTCGACAGAGGCGTGTGCAGTCAAAGACCGCTAAACACCACTGAGTATTTATCTTCTCACCCACGGAAAAGAATATGGCACAAGGCCGGTTTTTGGGTTTTCCCGGGCTCGGCCAAAATGAGCCTGTAGGCTCGGGTTCCAAAATACGAAACCTTTTCGGCAAAGCTTGTCTGGCCGATTAAACAGGAGGGGTTCAGGACCCCTGAGTATTTATCTTCTCACCCCGGAAAAGAATATGGACGAAACCTTGCCTGTTCGGCAAAGCCGATTCGTCTGGGTTCGGCAAAGCCTGTCCGGGTTCCGCTGCTTACGCAGAGAGTTCGACAGGAGGCGTGTGCAGTCAAAGACCGCTAAACACCACTGAGTATTTATCTTCTCACCCACGGAAAAGAATATGGCACAAGGCCGGTTTTTTATGGGTTTTCCTGAGCCCGTAGGCTCGGCCAAAAAATATAGCCTTTTGAAGCCGATTAGACGGGTTCAGGCCCTGTCTACCTCCCCGGACGAAACCTTGCCCTTCGGCAAAGCCTCGTCGGGTTCCTCTGCTTACGCAGAGAGTTCGACAGGAGGCGTGTGCAGTCAAAGACCGCTAAACACCACTGAGTATTTATCTTCTCACCCACGGAAAAGAATATGGCACAAGGCCGGTTTTTTGTGGGTTTTCCTGAGCCTGTAGGCTCGGCCAAAAATATAGCCTTTTGAAGCCGATTAAACGGGTTCAGGCCCTGTCCACCTCCCCGGACGAAACCTTGCCCTTCGGCAAAGCCTCGTCCGGGTTCCTCTCTGCTTACGCAGAGAGTTCGACAGGAGGCGTGTGCAGTCAAAGACCGCTAAACACCACTGAGTATTTATCTTCTCACCCACGGAAAAGAATATGGCACAAGGCCGGTTTTTATGTGGGTTTTCCCGAGCCCGTAGGCTCGGCCAAAAATATAGCCTATTGAAGCCGATTAAACGGGTTCAGGCCCTGTACCTCCCCGGACGAAACCTTGCCCTTCGGCCCGGACGAAAGGCGTGTACAGTCAAAGACCGCTAAACACCACTGAGTATTTATCCCACGGAAAAGAATATGGCACAAGGCCGGTTTTTATGGGTTTTCCTGAGCCTGTAGGCTCGGCCAAAAATATAGCCTATTGAAGCCGATTAGACGGGTTCAGGCCCTGTCTACCTCCCGGACGAAAGGCAAAGACAGGAGGCGTTCGACAGGAGGCGTGTGCAGTCAAAGACCGCTAAACACCACTGAGTATTTATCTTTCACCCACTTGAAAAGAATATGGCACAAGGCCGGTTTTATGTGGGTTTTCCTGAGCCCGTAGGCTCGGGCAAAAAAAATAGCCTTTTGAAGCCGATTAAACGGGTTCAGGCCCTGTTCACCTCCCGGACGAAACCTTGCCCTTCGGCAAAGCTTCGTCGGCAAAGGTTCGTCTCTGCTTACGCAGAGAGTTCGACAGGAGGCGTGTGCAGTCAAAGACCGCTAAACACCACTGAGTATTTATCTTCTCACCCACGGAAAAGAATATGGCACAAGGCCGGTTTTTATGTGGGTTTTCCCGAGCCTGAGGCTCGGCCCGTAGGCTTTTGGCCGAAAAAGGCCCTGTACCTCCCCGGACGAAACCTTGCCCTTCGGCAAAGCCTCGTCGGGTTCCTCTTGCTTACGCAGAGAGTTGTCAAAGACCGCTAAACACCACTGAGATTAAACGGGTTTTCAGGCCAAAAAATAGCCTTTTGAAGCCGATTATACGGGTTCAGGCCCTATCTACCTCCCCGGACGAAACCTTGCCCTTCGGCAAAGCTTCGTCGGGTTCCTCTTCGCTTACGCAGAGAGTTCGACAGGAGGCGTGTGCAGTCAAAGACCGCTAAACACCACTGAGTATTTATCTTCTCACCCACGGAAAAGAATATGGCACAAGGCCGGTTTTTGTGGGTTTTCCCGAGCCCGTAGGCTCGGCCAAAAATATAGTCTTTTGAAGCCGATTAAACGGGTTCAGGCCCTGTTCTATCTCCCCGGACGAAACCTTGCCCTTCGGCAAAGCTTCGTCCGGGTTCCTCTCTGCTTCCGCAGAGAGGTCGACAGGAGGCGTGTGCAGTCAAAGACCGCTAAACACCACTGATCCCGATCTGGCGACTGCTACTACTTCTTATTATCTATGGGAGAGTCCATTACAATAGAATAGGTAATATGGCATGACAGTAAGTGACACTTGTAAAATTGTAGACTGGAATTAATATCCTCATTTTCATTGTTAATATAACAACGTTTCGTAAATAATCGCCATCCACGAATTTGGGATAGAAATTTATACACATAACAACTGATAAGCAAAAAGATAAGAAATACGGCAGTGGAGAAGGGAATTAACAGGAGATAGCTGACAACTGATATCCATTAAACGTGGCACGTGGAACTAGAACAGTCTACCCCAGTGAGCGAAATATAGGGCTCATTTAGACATTCAAACAAACTGAAGAAGCCGGAGCGTACAACGACCGAAACGTTGTAATAAATATGGTGAAAAAGATGAGGACAATAGTCCGAATAATGTAAATAGTGTATTAGAATTCACTTGGATTATATATCAGCTGGATTTCCTATACATACATATATATATATATATATATATATATATATATATATATATAAGGTGTAATTGATAGTGAAGTTCTGATTCCATTGGAGCTTCTTACATTCGCTTACGTTCAGATACTCTTGGGAAATGCCTGAATCCATCTGTTCCGTAAAGCTATAGCCATGGGTAAATAGTGAGACAGTGAGGATGTCAAGGAGTAGGACATTTCTGAATTCACATCTTGAGGAGGGTCTTTTGCCGGCCTTGTGGCACACTATGTGTTTCAGTTGTCTGTATTCGACTTTTCCGAAAAGTGTGTCTGATTCTGCACAATTCAAGTCTGTGTAGTTTGGCTGTATTGCTGTACCTTCACATGTCGCAGAGTCGCACAATGACGGGATAATCCAGTACATATATATATATATATATATATATATATATATATATATATACAGGGTGTTTCAAAAAATTTGATATCCTTTGAGATGTAAATATCACAGAAAGTACATGATTAAGGCAAATGAAATTAAAAAGTATTAACGTTGAAGATTATATTATTTATTCTTCCAAATCTGAATGAGAAATTCAAAAGCATGTGGATTATGTGAACGATTTCACAAATGTTCAATATGCGCACCGCCTGAGACACGGCATTTTTATAGCTGTAAAGAAAAAGATTAAAGATTAAAGAACATGAAAATACAAATAAGAAAAACACAAAAACATAAAGACATAAAAACATAAAACAAACATTAAACATAAAGATGCTATTAAATGCGAAATGATATCAAATTTTTTGAAATACCCTGTATATTAAATATAAATGACAATAGGAAAACTGTAGTATTTGTTGACGCATTTCGTCCAATGTGGATATTAATCTACGACCAGGCTTTTTCCCTATTTCACCTTTCTTAACAGAATTACTACTCTCCCAAACAAACGGACACAACAATATCGTGAAATCAAAAGAAAATGGTTGAATCCGTCAACACAGCAATAATAACAATATCTCCATACGTGACAGTAATTGACGTAATTTTCAGTTAACAGTATGAAAATAGCGTCCTCTAAATTCTTCCAGTTACTAAGGACATTTTGATTTTTGTTATTATTAGTTACTTTGTTTAAATAAATTCATTTCGTTTTTTGCTTTGAGAAAGTCCACATTGGATGAAACGCGTCGGCAACTATTACAGTTTTCCTATTGTCATTTATATTTAAAAATATTGCATTTTCTACAGGTTAACTCTGAGAAATTTTCATATATATATATATATATATATATATATATATATATATATATATATATATATATATACTTCCAAATATAACAATTTAAAAGAGGGCTCAATTGATAGTAGAGCAATATTATTTATGTGTATGTTTGTCAAATTTAGGCGTCTTTTACAGTAGATTTTACATTAATATAATATTTTCGTGAACTTTTATATCAAGATTTAGCCCACTATAATTCTTACATATTCTGCGTTGTTATATGAACATAAATTTAATTTTTAAAATCGTGCTTGTGTTTACTCTACGTTGAAAGAAATCGCGATGTTTGAAATTGTCTGTCTGACGAACACCAGTCAATGCGCTTGATATTTTTACACCGAGGTTTCAGTTGACGAACTAGAATCAAGAATAAAACATGTAAAAGGAAGCCAAGTAGCTCTGAAATAAAAACGAAACATTTTCTACTTGTTACGTCATCAATGTTACTGTTGTTTTTTTTTTTGCTTCCTCAGAGAACTCAATCGATCCTATAAAAATGGAATCGATTTTACGATGTTCCAGACGCGCAGAGGAAGAAATCGTTTCAACCATGACATTTATTTACTGTATTTCTCTTTTTCTTTCATCTTTTTTTCTTTTTTCTTTCACCTTTTTTTTATTGATTTTTCTTTCACCTTTTTTCTTTACCTTTATTTTATTCTTTTTATCTTCCACTTCGCGTTTCTCTCTTTTTTTCTTCTACTTTTTCTGCTTTTTTCTTTCATGTCTTTTTCTTTTTCTTTTAAATTTTTCTTTCACTCTTTTTCTTCTTTTTTATTTTCACATTCTTCTTCTTTTTCATCACTTGTTTCTTCTATTTTCTTTCATCTCTATTTTCTTCCTTTTGTTCTTTCACCTCTTTTTTTCTCCCACTTTTTCACTTTTTTTCTTTTCATTTCTTTTTTCTTCGCATGTCTATTTTGTTCTTTCACCTTTTTTCTTCTTTTTTCTTTCACCTCACTTTTCATCTTTTATCATTCGCCTTCATTCACATGTTGTTTTTCTTTCAACTTCTTTTTTCTTCATATTTTCTTTCATGTCTTTTTCTTCGTTTTATGTTCGCCTTTTTCTTCTTTTTTCTTCCACCTCTTTTTCCTTCCGCCTGATTTTTCTCCCACTTTTATTTTCTTCTTTTTTTCTTTCACCTTTTCCTACTTTTTCTTTCATGTCTGTGATCTTTTTATTTTACAGTTTTCTTCTTTTTTCATTCAATCTTCTTTTTTACTTTCACCTTCTTCTTTTTTCATCTCTTTTTTTCCAACTCTATTTTCTTTCACCTCTTTTTTCTCCCACTTACTTTTCATTTTTTCTGCTTTTTTCTTTTCACTTCTTTTTTTCTTGTCATATCTGTTTTGTCCTTTGTTTCACCTTTTCTTCTTTTTTACATTCACCTCATTTTTCTTGTTTTCTTTTCATTCGCCTCTATTAACACGTTATATTTCTTTCTTTTATCTCCCTTTTTCTTCATATTTTCTTTCATCTCTTTTTTCTTCGTTTTTCTTTCACGATTTTTCTTTCATCTCATTTTTCTTCATTTTTCCATTTACCTCTATTCACACGTTGTTTTTCTTTCAACTCCTTTTTTCTTCATATTTTCTTTCCTCTATTTTTCTTCGTTTCTCGTTCGTTTTTTTCCTTCTTTTTTATGCTTTGCGCACTTCTGTCGTTTTACTTCTCGTTCTGAACATCTTTCATCTTTCGCTCTTATTCTTCATAAAATTCTTTCTCATATTCCACAGTTTCCATCCACTTAAAGTTTCCCAACATGCCATCTTGTTTAAGCCTCGTTTCTGCCATAATTCTTTCTTTCAAGCGTGTATTTGTGGGTGGTCTAATGGAATAGTGGCTCGGAATGTGAAATTGGAGAGCCAAGTTCGAATACCAGTCTGGTTTTCTTGTGTTCACTTACGCACAAATACCTGTGGGAGAGGTATGAACCCGTTCCCCACTTATAGAGTATATAGTAAGGCTTACATGTAGAAAAATCATTGTTGTTCTCACTTATAAATGCATTAATCATTCGGATAAAAGTACCCTATCTTACAATTCAAAATATATTTCGGCTTTAAATAACCCACAAAGGGTTGATAAGCCATAAAAAACAAACCAGCCACCTTTCCTTTAATTATTCAGTTTTTCTTCCATTTAGTAACTCCCATCTCCACTCCGGTTTTCCTTCTGTTTTTTTGCTTTTTCATTTTCACTTCTTTTTTCTTTGCATGTCTATTTTGTTTTTTCCCCTTTTTCTTCTTTTTTCTTTCACCTCATTTTTCTTTTTATTATTCGCTCTTATTCACACGTTTTTTCGCTTTTTCATTTTCACTTCTTTTTTCTTTGCATGTCTATTTAGTTCTTTCCCCTTTTTTCTTCTTTTTTCTTTCACCTCATTTTTCTTTTTATTATTCGCTCTTATTCACACGTTTTTTTTCTTTTTTCATTTTCACTTCTTTTTTCTTTGCATGTCTATTTTGTTCTTTCACCTATTTTCTTCTTTTTTCTTTCACCTCATTTTTCTTTTTATCATTCGCTTTTATTTACACGTTTTTTTCTTTTCAATTCTTTTTTCTTTGCATGTCTTTTTTGTTCTTTCACCTTTTTTCTTCTTTTTTCTTTCACTTCATTTTTCATCTTTTATCATTCACCCTTATTCACACGTTTTTTTTTTTTAGGATTCTTTTTCTTCCATCTTGTTTTATTATGTGATGACATTTTTTTTATTGTTCCGGAATGATACACATATTTCTCTTCAGTTAATTGTGTATATTTAACTAGTAATTAACTAAAAACAGTCATCAACCTTTACAAGTATTTTTAGAGTTTTCTGCATGAAGATTTTAGATTTTATTTAATTTTTGTTGTTTCTTTCTTTCGTCCTAATTGACCCAAGTTTTTTAGTTTCTTATATCGATTTCTCATTCATTCACTTGTCATAAATCACACGACGTTTTTAGGTTTTTTTATATAGATTCCTTGCTTTCGTTCTTTCTTACTTTCTTGTGTCCTAATTGACACCACCGTTTTTATTTTTATTTTTATATTGACTTATTTCTTTCTGCCTGACTGCCTATGTAGCTACCGACTTTCTATTTTCTTTTTTGTTTCATTTTACTTTTTTCCATTGTTCCTTTCAATTTACTTTTTCTTTTTTCTTTCTTTCTAGCTTTCTTTCTTTCTTTCTTTCTTTCTTTCTTTCTTTCTTTCTTTCTTTCACCTACTCACACACACACATATACATAATACTTTCTATTATCTATCTCTCTGCTTTCTTTCGTATTTTTTCTTTCATTTTATTCGTTTGTTAGTTTCTTTCTTTCTATTTCGCCTACTACGCCCTGCGCTTTATTTATTTATTTATTTATTTATTTATTATCATTCTCTATTTATCCAGTTCACTTTCTTTCATTCTTTCTTTCCCTGTGTTTATTTGTGTTATACTTTCTTTAATTTCATGTTTCTTTCTTTCTAATTTTCTGTCTATACAGTTTATTTTTTTCTTTCCAATACAGCAGTTATTGAGCTCGCTTTGTTTGTTTGCTTGTTTCTTTTTTTCTTTCTTCCCCTTTGTTTATTTGTTTTATACATCCTTTCTTTCTTTTCTTTCTTTTCTTTCTTTCTTTCTTTCTTTCTTTCTTTCTTTCTTTCTAAATTGCTATCTACACAATTTATTATCTTTCTTTCTATTATTATTTATTTCCAATACACCAGCTATCCAGCTCGCTTTGTTTGTTTGTTTCTTTCTTTCTTTCCATTTGTTTATTTGTTTTATACATTCTTTCTTTAATTTTCTTTCTTTCTTTCTTTCTTTCTTTCTTTCTTTCTTTCTAATTTGCTATATATACAGTTTATTTTGTTTCTTTCCATTTTTCTTTCTTTCTAATACACCAGCTACCCAGTTTGCTTTCTTTCTTTCTTTCTTTCTTTCTTTCTTTCTTTCTTTCTTTCTTTCTTTTTATACATTCTATCTTTCATTTCATTTGTTTGTTTCTTTCTGTCTTTCTTTCTTTCTAATTTGCTATCTATACAGTTTATTTTCTTTCTTTCCGTTTTTCTTCCTTTTTGAGACATCAGATATTCAGTTCGTTTTCTTTCTTTTCCCTTATGCGTAACTACTTCTTTCTTTCTTTCTTTCTTTCTTTCTTTCTTTCTTCTGTTTTCCAATTGTCTTTCTATTTCCTTTTCTTTTTTCTTCTCTACCTACTACTTTTTTCATTTTCTTACTTTCTTTTAATTAATTTCAATTTTTCGTTCCATCGTATTCTTGTTTTTCCATTTGTTTATTCCCCTTCCTTTTCTTGCCTACCAACCGCTTCTTCTTCTTTTTCAGTTGTCATTTTTCATTCTCAATTGTTCTTTGTTTCTTTTGTTCGTGTTCTTCGTTTCTTTCATTCAGTCTTTTCCTGAATATTTACTTCTCTTCTTTTTTTTCAGTGTTATTCGTTTCTTCGGGTCTTTTGTGTTAGTTTGTAAAAAAGATCACCGATAATTGTGTAAAAATTGATTTAAAGCGAATCTTTCTAATTTTGGCAAAAGCAAACATTAATTTCTATTAAATGGCGTGAAAATGTCGATTCATTTTTTCAGGAATGGCAGGTGGGTTCAGTCGAGTTCCTCTTGGTGAAGCTTGAGGGTCTTGGCAAATATTGTCTTTCTTTGAACACTGTGGACTGTCTTCTCTGCCCCTTCACTTCCTCACTTCGTTAAATTACATATGCTTAATACAGCCCGTCAAAAATGTGTAAATTTTTTTTCATTTTTCATTTCAACCTTTGGAAGTAAAGTCTGATGATCCAGAGCCCTTTAAAAATGCTGTGGTGAAATAATTTATTAGATGGACGTTTAAAGTGGTCTGTTTTTATTTAACACACACACACACACACACACACACACACACACACACACACACACACACACACACACACACACACATATATATATATAGAGAGAGAGTGAGAGTGCGATAGATAAATTGTCACCAATTCATATTTTCAATCTCGCGCATGCGCATTGTTTGTTTTTGAGTTTTTCAACTGCACTGTATACTAGGGTCAGTTGGGCGCCGTCTTTGAGAAAAAAAAAACATGATGACGCAATCCACTCTGCCAGAAATTTAGAAACGGCATGCAGTACTGCTTGGCATTCGCGCCGGAAACTCCAAAACTAACATTTCAGGGTGCTTGGGTGTCAATCTGAGGATTCGGAAATAGTTGTAAGAGTCTAATGGTGATTACGAAGGTGTTTCCAGTGAGTACTAGTGATGGCAATGTTATACTTACATTCACCTTCCCACAGGGCCTCAGACTCAACACGGAGGTCTACATCAAGTACCTTGAGGACGTAGTGCAGCCCTAGGTCAAGAGGTTGGCTGATGGAAGAATCTGGGTCTGCCAACTGGACTCTGCATCATGCCACAGAAGCAGAAGAACCCAGTGATAACTATCAGACAATTTTTGCGACTACATCACGACATACATCTAGCCACCTAACTCCCCAGACTACAAAACTCCTCGATTATTATTTGTGGCGCGCAGTAGAGCGGGATCCCCCCCCCAAAAAAAAAACTCCTTGTAACATCAAAGATGAACTGAAGGCAAGGATTATGACAGCATTAACCAAGGAGACTGTAAAGAAAAGTTGCAGGAGATTCCGAAGTCGTTTGGAGGCCGTGGTTGGATCCAATGACGATTTTATCGAATAAAGTTACTCTTTAGTATTTCAAGATATTTTTGTGCAATTTGGTAAATATATCTGTTAAAATGAGATGTCAGTATTATTTTCATTTTTGCGGAATTTAAACGATAATTTATCCATCGAACCCTGTATATAGAGAGGCAAGCAGACAGACAGACAGACATACGGGGTGGAGGAGTAGATGTAGGAATCACCATGGCATGATACCTAACATTTATTCGCTACGAAGCTATCTTAAGACCAAGGGGTACTATTCTTTAGAATTCGTTTATAATTAGGAGGCATCTGGTTACAATAAAATAATTTAAAAGCATTTTCTATTTTTGTTTATATCAAGTTATATATATATATATATATATATTAGGTTGGTGCAAAAATAATGACGTAATAATGTCGTTTTTTGACGTATTTTTAACGTCAAAAAACGACATTTTTACGTCATTATTTTTGCACTAACCTATATATATATATATATATATATATATATTTACACACACACATATATTTTATATATATATATAAATATATATATAAAGTCTTGGTCCTTGTTCATATATATATATATATATATATATATATATATATATATATATATATATATATATATACGCACATTAAAATAGGCATTATAAGCAAAGCGATCCTTTTGAATGAAATTAGGAAAGATTAAACACTGGTAATACCATCTCTCGTCAAAAATAAAATACCCTATCCATCAATTCAATAAAATGAATTCTTTCGTGCAGAACACACAGATTAGTTCAAATCTTAATTTCTATTCGTGTATATCAATTGTATTTTCTTAAAGTTAAATACAATAACATTTGATCCAATTCTATATTCACCCATATTTTTAAGTACATTTTGTCAGACAGCGATTCGATATGTTTTGAGTAAAATTCCGAACGTTTTAATGCGAAAAAAATTTTCAATAAACTGTTGAAACTGTTTTTTTTCAGATGGATTTTTTCAGTATCTGTCTATATTTCTGAGATGAGGTATTATGCACACTATTTATATTATTCGGAGTATTGTCCTCATTTTTATCGCCATATATATCACAACGTTTCGGCACAAGAACACATGGCACAGTGGATAAAGGTGTTGGTTAGATCCAGTGACAGGACCCAAAAAGTGTGAGTTCAATACCCGGTTAAGTCAGTGGAGAACTTTCAGAGGGAAATTAACAGGAGATAACAGATACCTGACATCCATTAAACATGGCACGTGGAACTAGAACAGTCTACCCCACTGAGCGAAATAAAGGGTTCAGTTCGACATTCCAACCACCTGAAGAAGACCGGAGCGTACAACGGCCGAAATGAATATGATGAATGTGATGAATATGGTGACACAGATGAGGACAATAGTTTGAATAATGTAAATAATGGATTTTTTCATTTCAAAGCCTTTAGCAGAGATCAATAACCGTAATAATCGTTTGGTGCAAAATAAGGTGAATGTGGAGATTGAGGTAGAACCCATGGAATGGCAAAATTTATTGCTGTTTTATTTTTGATGTATGCGTCCTTGCGCTGTCATGGATGAGGAAAATATTTGCCCGGTTGACAATCTCAATGGGTTTTTCGGCGAAATATTTACCGAAATGCTGTGGCTGCTTGACGTTAAAATATGTATTTAATGCTTCATTCAGTTTTAAGAATTTTAACTTAAGAATGCGCCGACAGTACCACCAAATATTAGCTTTCCTCAACAGAGATTGGTTGTGAAAATTTATCTCTACCGAACAACTGCCTATTGCGTGGAACTGTTTTCTTCCGGAAACAAGTTTTCATTACATGTTATGATTTATTTACAGAACTGTTCAGCTTATACGTTCGTCATTACAACTGATTTTCAAAAACCCAAAATGACTTATGGTTCAAGCTAATAGACTCATCTAAAATAATGACGAAAATTGTTATCCTCTAAAATCTTTCATGATGTACTTAATTGCGTTTTGATCTAACGTCAAAGTTCTAAGCTTCAAGAATAAATCTGTGACACCCACGCTAATCGATAACGGAGACTGATCAGCAAATTTAATTGGTGCCTAATTGATGTTCATTTGACCTTTTAATAAGCACTCAATTATCGATAAATGTCAAACAATCTCCTGTTACGTCAAACGCTTCTTCAATTATACTTTTTATATTTGACTTATACATTATTTTACCCAAATATGCATGATTCTCCTTTCTTGTGGTTCTAAGTCAATCACTTTTTTCCAAAGATATATATTCCTAACTTATCCATATGTTATCTTGCCATATCATGATCCGAAAACGGAATAATTTTTTTTTTTATATATATATAACGAAAATTCAAAGAAGATTAAGTAAAAGTTGTAATAAAATAATACTGGTGTATATGCTTAATAAAAATATTAGTAAAATGTTACTAGTCAAAATTTATTACCGTATCTGTTTTAACTAGTAACATTTTATTTTATGGGACCCGTTTTCAAGTTGTGGGTGCCATCAAGAGGGCCGTAACAACGGAGCTGAAGTGGATCCAAGAAGAATCCTTCTGCTTAGAAGCGTGACAGAGAAAGAAAAGTATATTATATTCGAGAGGAATTACTCTGTAGACACTATTTTAAAGATATATATATTCCTAATTTTTGAATATATTAGCTTGCCATGTTGCCTTCTGAAGACGGAATAAAATCGTTTTTATTAATAGGCGGAGTTTGCTTGCAAAGTAACGGTGTCAGCAACAATCTATTTCAAATCCAAACAACAAACTCCATGGTTTTCCCTTCAGAGAAATCCATCACGAGTCTATTGCACTCCTCTCACTTCTCGGTCACATTTTGGAAGGATTCTTCTTAGAAGATCTCCAGCTCTGTCGTTACGGACCTCTTGATGACCCCCACACCTTAAAAGCGGATCCCCTTTATGATCCCCTTGTTGGGGAAAAGATAAAAGTCACCCGGAGCAAGATCATGTGAATAGGGCGGTTTTTTCAGTACGGCGATGTTCTTATCAGTCAGAGGCTGCCGGATGCTCAGGGCGTCGGGAACAAGTGCAATGTCGTGGTGAAGCAGTCACGATTTGTCCAACCTCAAAAGTATGTAAAAAAAATGTAATAGATTCAGAAAACTAAGATTGCATTTAGAATATTTATCTACCAACGAAGGTTGCATGTGGCACAAAGCCGGTTTAACGTGGGTACTCCGAGCTCGTAGGCTCGACCAAAAATATTCCCATTTGAACCCGTATAAACGGGTTCAGTGACAGTCTACCTCCATAAACGAGACTCTGCTCTTGGTGGAGCCTCGTCCAGGTGCGACAGAGAGTTCGACTGTTTAGTTGGAACAGGTTGCAGTTAGATACTCCCAATATATCGTGTTAGATGATAACACAATTCACTTATGTCTCTCTTATCCATAGCTTACAGAACACACCCAGTCCAGTTACTTTTCAGACACGCACCCCCAACACATCCTTGTCTCATACCCCTTTCTATTTTTGTGTAGCTAATTAATTAATTTTGTATCCATATGTAGGCTGTTTTCTCCCACTATATGAGGCCCCTCTGAAAAGTAATGTGACTTGTAATCCCTCTCGGATCCAATGAACTTTTCCGTCTTTCTCTGCCACGCTTCTATGCACTGCTGGAAGGATTCTTCAGGGTTTCTCCATCGTTAAGGCCCTCTTGATGGCCTCCACGTCTTCTTAAATATCCCCTTTGAGCTTGGGTAAAAGAAA